ACTACAGTCCACATTCAGGCCTTCCCAATTTGACCCCAACCATGACAATGTCTACATTCAGAACATTGAGATCCTTCAGAAGCGTTTCTCCCCGCGACTCCTGAAACACACACTCGCAGCAATGCGCCGGCATCTCCTGGTACTACAATCAAGCCTACCCCAGCTCAGAGCTTTCCTCTCCCAGACCTGCAAAGGACCTCTCCTGTTTTTTATTCTTCGTAGGATCCACAACCTGAACTCACAATTCTACTCAGCTTTATTGGACACAAAAAACCGTAAGTACAGTAAACTTACTGGTGCCTACCACCCAAAACGGGCTTCCTCCACCTCCCAAAACCCCAACCCTACCCAGGACCTTCCCCACAATGTGCCCGCCGCCATTGGCCACGTGGCCACTGTTGGAGCAACCACGGATGACGTCACACCCTCTGCCGCCAGGTACATCACTTCCGGGACAGTGAACGCCATCGACACCACTGCTGATGCCGTCGCCTCCATTTCCGAGGCCAACACCATAGACACTGAGGACACACCTACCGTCACCGCTGCTGCCACCTCCTACCCCACCCCTCCCACGGCACTCCGCCCACCGCCTCCACAGCCAGCAGCTCCAGAGGAGACAGCAACACCCAGCCCTGCCGAGTCTTCACCATCCCCCCAGATCTCCATCTCACTGAGGACGAACCGTCAGTCCTCAGTAAAGGGCTCACCTTTATCCCCCGCCACCCATACATCAACTAATACCGGTCACGTTTGGACATAGAGCAGTTTTTCCGCCGCCTCCGCACTTACTTCTTCAACCGTGAGCCTAACCCTCCCTCTACTGACCCCTTCTCCCACCTCCAACACACCCCCCCAAGGCCTCCTAACCTCCCTCGACCTCGCATTTCTGAAAAAGGGTCTAGGCCCGAAATGTCAGCCTTCCTGCTCCTCTGATGCTGCTTGGCCTGCTGTGTTCATCCAGCTCTACATCTTGTTATCTCAGATTCTCCAGCATCTGCAGTTCTTACTACCTCTGTACCAAATGCCTTCTTCACTATACTGTCTACTTGTGACTTCATTTATTAAAGTCATGAAAACAATAACCAGAATCCTTCCGACCTCAAAAGAAAAAAAAAAATCAATTGATGGAGAGCCGACTACAAAAGGGTAAAGCAGAGCTAGGCAGGATTGACTGGAACAAGAGTGTGGCAGGCAAAACAGTAATTGAACAATGAATTATCTTCAAAGGAGATGGTTCAGGTACATTCTAGGTATTGCAAGCCTAACTACAGCACATGGACTGCAGCAGTTCAAGTAGATAGCTCACCGCCACATTTAAGAGGAACTAGGAACGGGTAATAAATGCTGGCCTGCTACTGATGCCTACTTCCCACAAGTGAATAAAAAGAAATGTGCTCATATGGGGAAGGCAGGACAAACAAATGAAATCCCTAGATGACAAGAGGAGGTAAGAATTAACATTAGAAGTAAAAACTGTTTTTATGACAGGTGTAAGGCAGAAAATACAACTGAGAACAAAGAAATACTGAAGGTTTAATGGGGAGGTGAAAATGCAAATAAAAGCAAAAAGAGGAATGATGAGAAAAGACTAGCACCTAACATTAAGGGGAACCTCAAAGTTTTCTACAAGCACATAAATAATAAAATACTTGAAGGAGTAGGGCCAATTAGAAATGATAAAGGGAATTTACATATCGCTTCAGGGAGCATGGCAGAAACATTAAATGAATACTTCACATCATCTTTACCACAGCGGACAACATAGCCCCATCTTATGACAGGGAAGCTTCCTCCTTTGTTACTAGATGGGATCAAAATTAACAAGGAAGTAGTCTGGGACAGATGGTTTGCACTTAAAAGCACCAGGACCAAAAGGAATGTCACGGAAGTGAGGGTAGAAATTACAGAGGCACTGGTCGTAGTCTTTCAGACTTTCTTGGACTCAGGAGAGGTGCCAGAAGATTGGAGAATTACAAATATTATGGCTTTATTCAAGAAAGGTTGTAATATCATCCCAGCAATTATAGACAAGTCAGTTTAACCTCACTGGTGGGGAAACTGCGAGAAGTTATTTGCCATAGAATTAGTAGCCACATGGAGAAAGGTGAGTAAATTAGGAAGAGTCAACATGGATTCCCAAGAGGAAAATAAAGTTTAACAAGCTTGCTGGATTTTTTGAAGAGATAACAGAAAAGATTGATTTGGATAATGCTGTTGATGCGGTTTACATTAATTTCCAGAAGGCACTTCTTACAGTACCACCCAGAATTGAGGAAAGTTCTAGGTCATGGTACAAAAAGGAACAACTGCAATATGGATACAAAGTTGCCTGGCTGATTTTAAACAGTAATGATCGATGGATATATTAAGGTTTATGGTGGAGCTTACCAGGGTAAATTGGAAACTTTGCTTTTCCTGATATGTATTAAAAATATGGATCTTGGTATGCAGGAGACAATTTTAAAGTTTGCAGGAGACAATTTTAAAGTTCGCAGGAGACAAAACTTCGCACAGTTGTAAACTGCGGGGAAGACAGTGCCGAACTCAAAGTACATTGACAAGTTGTTAGAGTGGGCAGATAGGAGAACAGTTAGTTGCCAGTCTTTTTGTAATCATTCTTTGCTTCCCTAATTTGCTTTTGCACCTCCCTCCTGAACCTTGGGGGCTGACCTTCGTTCACAACTGTATTTATGACCTGACACAAATAGATGTTAGCATGTATTGGTTAACGAGGGAGAGACTGGCCACAAATAGGACGTTTAAGTTGGCAGCTTGTGACTGGAAGCATGCCGCAAAGATCATTCACTGCTCACAATGTGGTCTCCTCTACGCTGGGGAAACAAAGCACAAACTGGGTGACTGCGAGCAGAACATCTACGTTCTGCTCGCAAAAAAAAAAAGAGCTATTTGTTGCCTGCCACTTTATCAAACCACCCTGTTCCCTGGCCAACATTTGTACCTGGCTTGCAGCCATGTTCCAGTGAAACTCAACACAAGCTGGAAGAGCACCACCTCATTTTCCGCTTGGGGACCCTGCAACCCTCCGGACTCAATACAGAGTTCAATAATTTTAGGGCCTAAACTCTCCCACGTCCTATCCCCTACTCCACACACCAGGCCTTGTTATCATGTAGCCCGTTATTACATACGACCAATTGTTAGTCACTAACAGTCCCCATTAACAACTACTCACCCTCCTAGCCAGATCGTTATCA